GCTAAATTTGGCTTTCAAATGTTGAGTGATCCTGGCATCATGTAAAAAAAAAACAAAAAGAAAACTATACTGCTCAAAAAAATAAAGGGAACATTTCACTTTAATTTTGTGTGTGGCTCCAAATCCAGGCCTCCATTGGTTAATAAATTTGATTTCCATTGAGATCTAGGATGTGTTATTTGAGTGTTCCCTTTATTTTTTTGAGCAGTGTATATATATATATATATATATATATATATATATATATATATATATATATATATATACACACACAAATAAACTACACAAAGCTGTAAAGTTAATAAATACTTTTTTTTTCTTACTTGCGGGGAGTAAGCCTGGCCCGGCGGAACGGCTCCCGGGTTATCATAGTAAGGTGGAGGTGGGTTCTGAACCATTGAGGACTTCTCATTGTCCCAGCCTGGAGCAGTCGCTGACTTGTTAGAATCCATGGAGTTGCAGAGTTCACCTCTCTGAAATAGCAAAAAGGAAAAACAAAAAACAAAGCAAAAAGGAATGTTCTTTTCCCTCCCGAATAGTTTGATAAACACTTCTTCCAAAACTGTCCTCCACACAAAAGGCACCTGGAGTAAATGATCTGACAAGGGGGCTCAAAAATTATAATTACAAGCTGTATCAAGTTTGTTGAATTCAAAACAACACTTCCGGTGCGGCTTTCAAAAATAAAATCCTAAACAAAATGTGGTGTAGCGCCCCTACTCTCACTCTGTGGTGCTGAAAATAAAACAATGACCATGATGTTTGTAAGTTAGCCTTCTTCTCAAGCTGTTAAATAACCAACAAATTATATTTAAACTTGAAATAGAGGAACCGGTGAAATCAGGAGTCAAATCCTCCCGCGTGCTGATTTGAAATCAAATTGAAATTGAAAACCTGCTTTTATTTTGAAACAGTTTGAAACAGTTACCGCTTTGATTTCGTTATATGAGTGGGTGAGTCTCCCTGAAGAAAAGCAAAAAGATTTATGCAGGATGGTTTTCATTCGACATGCATCTGAGCATTTATTAAGTGAACTCAAAGGCAAAGATGTGCACCTTTGATGCGTGTTCGTAGGAAACACATTTTCTCCAAACTTAACACTCCTTCCCCAGCCCCAGCTTCAAAGCTTCAAACAGGTTCACCCCACCCAGAAAGTGGGCCACCTTTACTGACATTTACATTTAAATTTTCCCGTGAAATTTGTATTTTATGCTCTTGTATTTTTTTTGTTTGAAATCCATTCATAATTTAGCCATTGTTTGGGTCCGCTGATATTTGACTCCAGTTATCTCCGGTCTGTTTGTGCAGGGAGCAGCAGGTGGGTGGGGTTAAAGTGGGCCATCTCGCTCCATTCACACGTTTACAGGAAAAACTTGAAATGATCCAGTAATACTAGACAAAACCCTGTTCGGGGAAATTTTGTTCACAACCATTATAATGTTTTATTTAGTGATTTCATTCTAAGGAACTGTTGATGTCTCAATTCATTTATTTTACTTCAGCTTGATTTATTTTATCTTTTTGACTGTATTTAAAAAACAGACTGGAATTGGTTGGTTCTTCAGGGATTCATGCACATTTTTTTGAAAAGCGGAGCACCTGCTAAATGTGTCCACTAGAGGGCACCAAGAACTCTGTGACCAGCAGATCCGTTATCTCCAAGAGTAAATTTTTCATACTATCTAGAGATCTAATGTACAGTCATTCAATAGATTAGAATATGCCTTCAGATGAGGTTCATTTGTCAGATTAAAAGTGCTTTTGGAAAATAACCTTTATTAGACATAGATTTATTTTATTAAGCAAACATTTCTGTTTTCATTGTTATGGTGTAATATTCTAATTTTAAAAGTTGTGTTTTCTTTATTATATTATGTAATGTATGCGTCTTTCCAGCTGGAGGTACCTGAATTAAATGGGAAATACACTTTATCATACGGATCCAGGTCTTTGACTTACAAACTGATTCAAACCAAGAAAACACAGAATTTGCTGAGAATTTGGTTTATTGTTTTTATTTTTCCATTCATCCTAAGTATTCAATTGTTTACATCTGTGACTAAAATGTGTAAAGTTAAATTGACACTCATAAACAATAAAACATCTTCATTAACTTTGCTTCTTAAAAGTTGAGAAATGAAAATGATTGCACTTATTAATAAATACCTATTGAAAAGTTATTGGCAACAGAATGCTGAGATCTTCTTGTAAGAGTTTACCCAGAACTAAACAGGTCATATCTCTTTATTGAATAGACTGTCTTTTATGGACAAAAGGTGTTTGTATGTATCTGTGCTCTTTGGCTGAAACAATACTGATAAAATAATAACTGTGTCTAATTCTGACGAAAATGAAAAAAAAAAGAGGTCTGAAATTGTGATCGACTGTGGAGCCTGAAATCAGAAACATGTCAAGACAAACTGAATAAATTAACAAGAGGATAAATCTCTAGTCAGTCAGATGGATGACTGATGACAAAAATGTGAGTTTACTATATTATGTACATAATAACAATCACAACATTGATGATGGCAATAACTGAAATCCCCATTCCCAGAGCGATGTGGTTCAGCATGAGGGCTCGTCTGCTGCTCTGCACTGCCATCTGCCAGTCACGTCTGGCAATGGCGTTACGAGTCTGAGGGTCAGAGAAAACAAAGAGAGCAGATCCTAAATAAAATCCAGCGCAAACACTTGCATCTTAACATGCTCGCTTAATGGCTATAATAAAACTCCAATTAGGAGACCTTTTTCTACGTTTCCTGTCTCAGTTTAACCAATTTAACTACCTGGTGTGCAAATGCTGTGTGCAAAGATTTGTGACAAGTCTGAAAACTGCTAAAATAAACTTCTGTGTGGCCTTCAGCAAGTTAGCTAGATAATCCAGGTTTGAGCATTATATTGGTGTAACCTTCAGCATGTGGTACATTTCTTGGTTCTACAGCATATTATAGTGATAAAAAAAACAACCACATAGACAAATAAAACACCCTTCTGCAGTAAGTCTACATCTACCAGTAACTCTACAATGAACAAAAAAAAAGCACATTAAACCTGTGTTCTTGTTTTTTTTTTTTCACCAAGACCAGAGAGTCGACAAATTAATAAAGATAAAAAATCAGCCAACTCAGAGTGAAGTGAATGTTTTTTAGCTTTGAGCCAGAAGTCTGGACACCATCAAAGCATCTGTGCTGAAACAAATTCAAACCTACCAGACCAGAAGGCTATATTTAGAGCGTAGTCACCCATCAATCATTGTAAAACGCCTTGTAAATTGTTGAGGATCATATTTGTCTTCAACAGCTACAAGGTTCAGAGTTGGTGTCTCAAATGGTCAACCCCTTTCATCTTCTAGTTCCCTCGCCCATTTCCCAAACATCCCGTAAAACGCAGGTAGCGCGTCAGCGTCATCATGCGCTAAGAAAGGCGGATCTAAGATTGGTCGTCATTCTCCATGTTTTGCAATTTACTTTATAACCATCTGTCCACACACAATCTACGGGTAAGCAATAGAAATGGCCAATTCCAAAAAACGAAGCATACCTGAAGTACAATAATCACTGTGAATAGAATAGAGGAGACTTCAGAGCAACTTTAAAACTCATAGAATGATTTGTTCTATTTCCAAGATGATTCTAATTTATATTTATCTGTCTTGTTTATATCAACCCTTAATATTTACCTATAGTATAATAATATTAGAATTATAGGTAATAATGTGTCCAAATAAATAAATATAAATGCAAAGCTTTTCAAAATTTCAATAACTTTTTTGTATTATTTATATTTGACTTTAAATTACACAATTTTTTTTTTTTTTTTTTTTTTACCTCAACTATTGTTGAAAACGTATTTGTACCACAGATACCACGCATTAGCTTCAACTGATCTGTGTGTGGGTCAAACACTCTGATGCATAACAACAATGTTGACAAGATATGAACAAGATATACTTACTGCAATAGAGCTGACAAGGGCAGCAATTCCCAGTGGCAGGCAGCAGAAGAGCATGGTGAAGATAGAGTAGCAAAAGTAGTCGTTAATGGGGCCCGCTTGATGATTCTGCAGTATTGGCTGCACGATGAAGACGCCTGGCTGTCCTGGCTGCGGCTGACCCATGGAGAAAGGCTGCTGGTTGGGATGCTGAAGAGGCGACCCAAAAGGCTGCTGGTTGGGGGCCGGTAAAGGCCCCCAGTGAGGCTGCGAAAGGCCGTAACCCTGAAGAAAACCAACATGAAATGCACCTTAAGCTTTTCCTCTGTTGTTCTCCACCAAGAATCAGAGGCCAAAAAAATAACCTGCTAACGTTGCTCGTTCATTTCAGTGATTATGTCAATGGCAGAAGATCTGAAATCTGAGGCGGTCTACAAACTGGACTCGCTTCCAGCGGTCCTGTCAGGAGGAACTGGCCAGAAACTCCTGCAAACTACCGTGAAAAGCTTTTTGGAAGGAAACCCAAAAAGGTTTGACCCAAGTCATACATTTTAAAAGCCAGATTTCTCTGATACTGAGCAAACTTTAGAATTCAAGAAAAGTTACAAAAAAATAAAATAAATAAAATAAATCTCTAAAAAACATTCTTGGTAAGTTTTTTTTTTTTTTTTTTTTTTGGGGTCTGGCAAAAAAAAAAAATTTTTGTATTTTTTTTTAAAAAAAAAAAAAAAATGTTTTTTT